TGGTGACATATCTGACTCGGGATCAGAGAGACAGAAAAAGTCGTGAGACCAGGGTGTCTCATATTGTCTCTTTAACCAGGGCTTTTTGGGACCCTTTTGCTTGGGATATGGCCTAAATAAGGCTGACATCCTGGACTGGATCATATCTTGTCTTGATGGTCCAGGGTAAGATGGAGTTTGAATAGCAGCTATGTGAGGGCCACTGACAGACGAGGAGCTTGGCAGAAAACTCGACATGCGAAGGGGATGATCATTTTCAGGGACAGCAATGACTGTCTCTTCCCTTTCAGTGGTCACTGTACTCTCTGAGGTCTTTKTCTCCATCACTAAAGGAATGAGGCACTGAACAGCATCCTGTATCAAACTTGCTGCTCTCTTGCTGGCTTCTTCGTATCTGAAATTAGACGTCACACACACACAATACAATTTGTACAGGGATAGTTAATTTTATCTGTTCAAACTTACAATTATATGACACAATCACACAAATGCATTACAATTATTAAACATTGGATTAAACCTTTTGCAACAAAAAAGTTAGTTTCCAAAACATTACATGAATAGAACTTGTTCTGGAAAACCAAGATCAAACACTTTGGAAGTGTCTGTTGCGATCATGTTCACTGTCCCAAAACACAGTCCTGTTCCTGTAAATGTACATTTTATTTGATGAATTTTTTAATTCAATTTGTATCTCCACTACTTCACTTTTATATTTTTTAGTGTAAGTTAAGTTCATAGATTAGTGTGTCCATCCACATTTACAGTGTCAACATATTCTATTCTAAGCGTACTTGGCCAATAGTGTTTCTGATTATATTTCTTGTATTGTTTTTACATGCAAGTACGTGTGATTTCATACAATGTTAGACAGTACTTCACCAGAAGTGTTTAACAAAGCTAGATATGGATGTGAAAAAACATGACCCAAAAAAATCATTTAAATATGTACAATTCAAATTGGTGTTTGCAAATTAACAATTTCCGTGCAATAGACAAAGCAAACAAGGAAAACAAATGTCAACATTTGGAGGGTCTTTATTTTGAAATTTCCACATCAACTATTGCTCAAATCCAAAGTGACATCTGAAGGTGTTCTGCTGTCATCCTTAATTATGATTATTCTTTATAAACAGCTTTAAAAAACAGCAAGTTTTTATGTATTATGCGCATAGTGTCTTTTTTCTCTTTCCTTTTGTCTTACTTCTTTATTCGATCTCACCCACTCATGTATTGAGCTGCAGTAATGTGCAAAYTTCCCCATTGTGGGATCTATAAAGTTTTTTATCTTCTCTTATCTATCTTATCTTAAGTAAWGTAAAAACAAAAAGGACAATGTCAGGAGTGTTGAGCAAATTTTTTTGAAAATTCGCATTTGATGTTAGTAAAAATTGGTGAGCTTCAGCCGCAAGGGTAATGTCTGACCCATTATGGCTTTGACCTCCGGGTTGACATCTGATGTTTTCTCTCCTTTTTTTTACATTCTCTGAACGTAAAGCTATGAAGCTCCTTATTTAGAAAGCACCGCGCAAGTACCCTAATACTTGGTGTTTGTGCGGGAAAAAAATTAATAAATAAAAATTAATCGTTTTCGAAGTGGAGCCTGTCTTGACCAATCCACAGCCATGTGTTTTACATTTTACTGTTCTTATTAAAATACTGCCTGATAAAAAACCTTTCATAAGACAGACAACACCACATACAGCTAATTATGAACAGATAGAAAGTTACTACTAAAACTATCTAAATCTGTGCGCACGTTAGCTGCGATGCTCAGGAAAATGAAACTTTTACTAACTTTGTCTACCGTTCGCTGATGATTTGTGACATTCCATGAAACATTGGTTTAAAGGTTTTTATCCAACTTACCTTTGATTTTTTTCCATTTTCAAGTGGAGTCTGACCATCAAATCACCTCACCATCCGAAACAGGACTTTAGCGAAATCAGCGGAAATGGCGAGCTGCGGACCGC